TTGAATCATATCTATTATCTCAAACCTCTGGACCTCTGGGATTATAATGGAACTTATTATTGAGGTGCGGATCCACGAGGAGGGAAACGAGGAAAATTTTGCGGTCTAACATTTTTCAGTAACTATTAATTTGAACTTGTTTTGAAACTTTCAAAAAATTTTTGGATAATCATTAAAACGAATAAATCATATCGCAGCAGGAGCGAGTGAAGCCTGCGTCATTTTACAAAATCTTTATTACGACACAATCTACCAAACCAATTATCTCTGGGTCCGCCCCTGCAGCACATCTTTATGTACCTTTCTCAAGCGGTAACCCGTCAAACGTGATGGGAGGAAATCAAACTCCCTCATCAATAATTCGTTATAATAAATAGCAGAACACAATTCAATTTCCTTATTAATTTTTTTTTTCGTTGCGAAATTTTCTTTGTTATCAGTAGTAGATTCAAACACTGGTCTCATCTCTTCAGGGTTGCCCTCCCTTGTCGGTCGTGTTTTTATTTTAGTATCAGTTTCCCGTGTATTTGTTTTTACAAAAGAATGTTGTACTGTGATATAATTATGTCCTTCGCTGAAAGTATGTAATGTGGTTTTATTTTACTAATTGCTAGTGTGACGTCATGGATACTCACAGCGACCTCAGACACAGAGCTTTCGTATAACAATATATTTATTAACAAAGAAAACAAAACAAATATATACACTTAATAATCTACTTACACCCTAGCTCTGATAGACCTACTATCCCCTGATCGCGGGAGCGATCCTAACCCGATTGAAGATGGTTTTGATTGTGGCATTCGCCACTCCTACTTTTGAAGCGCGCACAAAGCCTAGCTTCCGTGACCGGATGTCACGCTGGGACACAAAGTCCGTTCTGGCGCACCAACGGCTGGTTTGCCTCGATCGCAGGAGCGATCTTATCCGATTGAGAATCGGCGTGAATCGTGGCACTCAACCACTCTTCACCTCGGAGCACGCACACAGCATCGCTCCCCCGTGACCGCAGTCACCCAAGGACATAAAGTCCGCAGGCTTCGTCAACTAGTGACTCGAGCCTCGCGAGCCTGGCTCGCATATGCACCGTCGTGGCGCCAAGTTTTGTGCACACGCACGAGGTTCTCCCACTGTCTCCAGAACCCACCCACTGGCTCTGTACACTCTGTTATATAGGCGAGGCCCACGTGACCTACTACGTCACGCCACCCCCTCGCTTGTTATAACAGTGAAAAGCTTCTATAAGCCGGAAACTCTCAAAGCCTTGTGTCTCCCGTTTCCGCGTTCTTCCCTTTACGGAAAAATCCTACTTCCTGTGGCTAGACTAATCCGCAACCAAGCGTCCCCAAATAGATGCCATGAGGCACGCTGACTAATACACTAGTCAATTTAGGTGATCCAAACTGCGTCATTATAATTTAACTCCTGTAGCTTTTTGCTAAATACTAACGATTGCACATCTCTAGAGCGCGTCGCGTCCGGGGAAACTTAATCCTTCTGCCTCCGGAGATCTCAAGTTTTATAGACTGGCGTTGCTCGGGTATGCGCGCCGCCCCGACTTCCTTCCCAAACGCGCTGGCGGTTGCAGCCCCTTCGCTCGCTCAAACTGCGAAACCTACTCACGCGCCGTGAGCTCTGACTTCTGCCGCCAGATGACATTCCAAAAGCGTCACATGTTATAATGACCGGTCCGTTTTTAATTTTTTATTCATTTTGGAGTCCTTTTTATCCGAAATATCTTTTTTTGGCGGTATATCCTTACACCGTAAGTAACGATATACAAAAATAGTTTCTGTTTTGTTTTAGTAGCTCAAACTTTACGACACAATCTTAGGGCCGAAACAATCGTGGCACCGAAATTATGTTATAGATTTTTGGCAGATACATTGTTTTTCTTAGAAGAGAATGATGATGATTAAAGCATTAAATAGTATTTGCAAGTCGGTGACTGTGTCAATTCAGTTGTGTTCAAACTTCTGGAAAACGAGTGAACATTACAAGTCGTACTTAATCGACGTGTTATGTAAGTGACTGAATGAAAATGTAGATTTTATTTTGTGAATAAAATAGAAATTGTGCGAACTCTTCTTTGTAGGATTCTTAAGTTCATAACTGAAACTCAATTTACAATTATTTTTTTCATGCAGTTTCGTACTTTTGTTGCCCTTTTACGTCATCTACCTTCTAAGAACCTCATAAGTCGTGATGCGAACGTGATTCAAAGCCCACGTTTTAGGTAGATTTTTAATGCCTTACAGCTTAAAAATAATGTTGAATTTTTCGTACTCATAATAAGCAATATTTTAACAGAGATAATATTTAAGGGAATGTATTCGTATTTAATTCATCTAGAGAACATTCTGAATTACATTATTCATTTGCCTTGAACGTAAGTGCATTATAAAATTATTTTTTTTATATTTTTAATAATCTGATGAAAACGATATTATATACGATATAATTTTCTTTCGATCGTATAATATTAAAATGAATGGAAATGTTGGTGTCTCCAAAGGTGAATATTCGAGTGGCTTGTGTCTCGCAGTCTGAACGTAAAAAAAATAACAAGAAAACAGTATTCCGAATGTTCAGCTCATGTTTCGTAGTGGTCTTTCAGCACGTATGTAAACTGTATTCCTTTAAATGTCTAATCTATTGGAAACATCTTTTAAAAAATAGTGTATTTTCGAAATCCATATATTATTGCATTTCACTAAAACAATCTGTGTAAGTTTTATTCATTTTACTCACACTGAATGATCAAAAAAAGATGAATCAGTGAAAATTCCTGAATGTAGGTTTTCGTTCTAATACCGATTGCAGTATTCCGCTCAGTTTCAACATTCCCAAGCCATTTCATACGTTGTTTACTCTTTCATCAATACATTATCAAATATGATAATCAAATTTGTTTTCAGTTCTGGAATGCTTCTAAAGCATCGTAATTATTGGAATATTTCGACCAATTTGTACGTTTAAATGTATAGATTCAGAGTGAAATGCAAAATCATTCGAAAAAAACTCCTTTAAAAACTGAACGCTATTTATGCAATTTTTGTAATGAAACTTCTTACCCTCAGGAATAAAGTAGATAAAGGTTGTATTTTTTTATTCGTTTCAACGTATTTTGCATTCGTTTCAACGTAATTTTCAAATTATACTACATATGTTTCTCATTAGTTTGAATCAGGTGGTGCACCGCGGTAAGTGCTAATTCACTACACTGTCTGTAAAGATTGCCTTTTCATAACGAACTTACGACTGAATTGACGAGAATATTTCTTAAAATCTAAATCACCTTATCATCACAAACAAAGCAGTAGAAACTACATCAGTACTTCTAATTCAATAACAGAAGAGATAATTCAACTCGATTATTCTTTGAACTCGTATTATAACTCTTCACAATATTTTACTGCTTTTAGGAGAATTGGAACACTTTTAACGTACTATCCGCGTAGGTTTCCAGTAGCCCTCACTTCGCTAGAAGCGAGAGGAGTGAGGTGCTCGATTATTTTGTCGACAGGCCCATTGTATTATTTCTGTAGCTCTTTCTTCGATGCAAAATGGTTTCTGTTACTCTAGGCGAACATTTCTGGTCACCAGATTTTGTCAGCAACGCTAGTTTATATCATTTATTCTGAATTCAACTAGTGTTAGTGAAGGAGTATGGGTACCTGTTCCGGAGCTCAAGAAAACGTTCGCATGAAATAGTTGTTTTGATATATTACAAGACGTGTTTGAATTATTTTTTAATAATTACATAAATATTTTATTACAAAATAGCTAATTGTGTGAAAAGATTTTTATTATCCTGTATTGACTGAGCACTCTTTTAGATTAAATCGCTTTCCGATTAATGTTTTCCACTGATATCGGTACAATGGCTTTTTTGTAAAACTTTAAAATAGCCACGCGGGTCCTTTTCTGCATCATCTCTTTCAATGAGCAGATGCATACTTTTTCAAGTTGACACGAATTGGCGAATATCAGCGCCCGTAATGCAGGGTTTTTTGGAAGCTGACAAATAATGCTCCAGTTGACCTAGTTAGGTCTGCATGAAGACCTCATTCACACTACAAAACACTTTTCGGTTGTTCCTCGATATCAATTAACCCTCACCTAACCCGAACTCATTATTTTTTCTCTCACCCTCTTGACAAGCACGTGTATATGGTTCCTGGGACAAGCTCAAGAACTCACCGTAATACTCTACTGCATTTGTAATATATTTGAAAGGTATACAATCATAACTCCATTTTTATGAAAATTTGGTGAATTGCTTGTACAATACTTTAAAGATTTAACCGGTAAATTATATATTCATCATTCGATTTTTTTCTACCAAAGCGTTCTAAATATAAGGAAATATAATGGTTTTTGTTCATTAATAGCGATCATTACATTTCATTTACTTTATACCGTGGATAGTAGACATAATGCGCTCTCCCGCTGGTGCTGGGCTTTTTTTTCCTTGGTATATTGGAAAATATCTTAATTCCATAGCAACTTGTCTATACTTATGGCGAAATTAACAGGTTAAAACGGGTTATTGAAAAATAACCATTACGTAACTCAAATTTGATTGGTTCGTTATACAAATGATTTTTTCTTCGTACTCAAGTTCTTTCCGTGGATCAGCTTGAGATCTGTTTTCTTGAATTGCTCTGACGTATAGTTGGTTGCCACGTTAAGCTAAAGATAAGTAACAAATTCGCGCTGTCATCTTCACCTTTCGATTACGGGTTCACTGGCTGTAGTAGCCCAACGTTGCTCGGGCTTCTCTGTAACAAACACTTCTTAGGCAGGAAATTGCGTTACTATTGTGTAAAATAAAAGTAATTTTCTTTATTAGTTTTCCAGCCACGCGACGCTCTGTCCCGCCCAGCGTACTGTGCGACATTTCTCGTATGTGTAAACGAAGCTCTTACCTTCCTTCCCGCTGCATATGTTTAAAAGAAAAATATATTTTCGCGACGTTTCAGGATTTCAAATACTGAATGACTGAATTCGACACTGCAGGCCACATCCTTTGTGAGGGTCCCTAAAAAGACCCGAACCCTCAAAATAAAATTAAAGTCCGAAAGGATCTCATTTTGTAGATTATGAAGTGCGAGATATAACTCCTGACGTTTGTTTTGACAACCAGAGTTTAAAGCCCCAGAACGCATTGCTTCTTAGTTATCTTCGATGTCAAGATACACTTAAGCGGGTCGTATATTCCGGGTTGAATTCGCCTCTGCCGTTATTTAGACTTGTTTTTCAACAAATTTATTTTAGACATAAAAGTACCATGTTGAAGTATTCCAAGTTATGATGTATCAATATGAAAAATTTCGTTGAAAACGAATTATCGGTTGAAACAGGGCGGTTTGCAGGGCAGTTAGAAATACATTAATTCTTGAATATAATAAAGATTGAACATTACATTTTCGGAAGAAGGAAGTCACGTACCATTGATCGTATTGTGGCGTCGTTAACACGAGGGCCAGAACCGTTAGGTCGGTGAAAGTACGCTGCGGGGGAGGAAGGGGTTGAGCCTGAACATCCGGGAGTTTGCGCTCGGGCGGTTGACTCAGGTAGTGCCGCAGAGCCAAAAATACCGGAGGCTGTAAACTCCGAGGATGCTGCCGGCGAGCCTCGTTTACGGAAGCAGGCAGCCAACCTAAGAACCCTGTGTGTGGGCGTTAACCAAACCTGCGAGTCTCGCGCCAGCCGGCGAGCCTACCTATGGAACAGTGGTGGGGGTGTCAGTCTCAACTATTTAACGCGGCGCCGTCTGCGCCCGCGTTCTCATTCAGTTCGCATCGGGAAGCTTGTACGTGTGTACAAGGGGTGTAGGAGTGTGGGCGAGATGTCCGGAGAGTAAGGGCCAGACAATCTCGCGTGCTGTAGGCACACGGTCGCCACGACCGGGTTAAATTTTGGCGTCAGGCCATGTGACGGTAATTGTCACGGGACGGGGGTCCGACACCGCGCATCACGCGTGGCTTGTGTTTTCTGCGGTAAAGCAGTGTTCTGAAAGGAAAAGGTTGCCGGAGTGTTTTAATATTAGCAATTCATTGTAACTTGTACATAATCTTTGAATATATTATTTTTCTTTTGTTATTGAAATTTATTTCTTATTTCACTACGTCACAGTATGATGATAAAACCGAAAGTCATGCCAAGTTTTGGCCTTTTGTTTGTATGAACCAATCAAAGGCGCAGCTGTTGGCTCTTCTGACCCAGTCCTGTTGTGTCTCGTGTTGCAGCGGACCTCCACAAAGCGCCATGTCGTAGCGCCATGACCAGCGTGCTGCAGCAGCTGGACAACCTCGAGGGCTCGAGCGCGGGCGGCGGCAGCGCGGACGCCATCTCTCAGCTGTTCGCCAAGTGTCGGCCGCGCAGCGACGTCAACCTGAACCCGGTGGTGTCGCCCGTGACGGCTGCATCGACGGCGGCGGCGGCGGCTGCAGCGGCGGCGGCGGCGGCGGCTGCGACGACGACGACGGGCGGCGGAGGCGGCGCCTGCAGCGACGACGATGGCCGCAACGACAACGTGGTGGTGGCTGGAGCCGGCGGCGGCTTGGGCGCGGGCGCGGGGCTCGCAGGCCGGGGCGCCCTGGGGCTCGCCTCGCTGGTGATGGAGCCCTCCGCCAACAGCAGCGGCAGCGACTCTGACAGGTCAGTCTCGGCACAGCGCAACTTTCGCCCCCCCCTCCCCGGCCAACTCGAGCATCCGCCTGTGCTTCTTACCACGTCTAAGGGCGGCTCCACACATGCAGCATTCGGCGAATCCCGAGACGTGTGGACGGGTTGCTTGCGATTCGCCGAGCGCCCAACATTCGGTATTCGTCCTACCCACCGCGTGTCAAAGAGAGCGAACATTCGCCGAACACATCAGCTGTTCGGGATTGGGCGAGCAGTTGCTCGTTGCTCGAATGCCGAATATGTGGAGCCGCCTAAAGATCATCATCACTATTTTTTTTTTATTTCCAACTTTGTCACAGCATGCTCTCGTCGGTATACTGACTTTCTTTATATCGGAATGGTTTTTCTAAAGTGTCTGTTTATAATAAATCTTTTCCCTGTTCTATTATCAAGTTCTTCCTTTACCAAAAATGTCTGCTTTCCAGGAAAACAGATAAATCCATTTTGCCGGCCTCCTTTTTGCGACAAAGAACTGAAAGGAACCACAAATATTTATTAAACCAAAAATTATCACTTGTGTGATATTTTAAAACATTACAATATTTTCGAGATAGAAATATCCCTAACACGCTAGTGTTAATAAGAAAAATATTTTTTTATATTTTTTATATAAATGTTTAAATAATATTAATTCATTTTAGTAAATATGTTCTTTATACTTTGAAGTCATTATTTTCACTCATCAATATTGTTATTACAATATGCCGTGATAAAGATAGAACTTCCGTCTTTTTCAACTCAAAGATACTTACGAATATTTGAAGTATATAGTCGTCGGCACTTTTGAGAGCCCGCCAGAACATTGGCAACGTTATACCTGTAACTCATGAGCGTAATTAGCTTCGAAATGTTCATTCCTTTACTTCGAAATGCCGAAGGTCTGGCATGAATGGCGACGAATTTAGTCAAATATTCGTTTTCCTCACTTCGTAATTTCAGTGGATCCTCTCGTCAGTTGCATCGCGTATTGGATTTGGCACAGAAATCCTTTTGTGCCCCGGCCGGTACCTTGTCGCAGCCCGTAAGCGATGGAGCGCATCTAGCGGGTCATCACCCTAATTGCCCCTTCGGGAGAGAGAAGTGCGGCCGGCGCTGATGAGCGCCTCTCGGGGCCGCCGCGCCGCGGACGCGACGCTCTCGAAAGCCAGTGGACGCTGCGCAGCTCGCGCCGCGGCCGCTGCCACCCCTTGCCCCCCCCCCCACCCGCGCCTTGCCTTTCCCTCCCCCTGCTGCCAACCGTTCCCTTGCAGTTCGCCATCCCCTACTGGCCGGCCTCACTGCTTTCTCATTTTGTCGCGTCTTTCCGCTCTCAGCCCCGCAAGATGTGCCTGCGACCCTAACGTTCTTTTTGCACTCTGCCACCACCCCCTCCTACTTTTCTTCTTATTCCATCTTGCCACGTCGTTTCACCCTCCAGACTTCCCTTGCAACTCTGGCATTCCTCTTTCACCAAGCCAAGTACCTGTCGCCCTGACTGCTTTTCCTCGCTTCCCCATCAAACTCGTACCACCTCTGCCCTCCTCCTCCACACATCATTGTACCCGTCTCCTCGTGTCCATTACCAGCGCCTATGCATTCTGCCCGTTGCTCCTCCCTCCCACCGGGACGGCTCGTCCGTTCGCCGTCCACTCCGCCCTCGAGAGGCTCTCACCACCGCGATGGACGACGCCCCCGCTACCTCGCTCGCCCGTCACCCGCCGGAAGTCCTCGCGCCCCGCGCCCCCGCGCTCGTCCTCGCCGCCGGACGGTGGGCGGTGGGCGGTGGCCGGCTGCCAAACGGCTGCGCGCCTGCACGGGGGCCTGCGGCGTCGCGGCCCCGCGTAAATTTGAGTGGACAGGTCGCGCCGCGCGAGGTTTTGCTTGGTGCCCTAGAGGATGGCGGAATGAAGTCCGGGCTCCGAGCTTGCCTTCATTAATAAAGCCAATGGCCCGAATTTTTGCATTTTATAAACATCATTTAAGCGTTTTGAAAAAATATTTTGCCCATTTTAGGTCTTCTTATTACGTTAGAATCAGGCTGAACACCATTTGCAATAAATAACAATACATTTAGTAAGTAATTTACTCATTTTATTGAATATTTTTATTTCTGAACTAAAACAAAGTATTCTTTGAGCTTGGCTTCTTGATTAATCCAGCCTAGGGCCCGGCTTTTTGGCATTTTATTAACATCATTTAGGGTTTTTGAAAAAAAAAAAGATTTAGCCCATTTTAGGTCTTCTTATTACATTATTATCGGACGGAACATCATTTGCAATAAATAACAATAAATTTACTAACTCATTTACTCATTTTGTTCAGTATTTTTGTGGGTGGAAGGGCGGGCCAACGCACCCCCCGCGTCGGCGGTCGTTCTGTGAACCTGCGTCGCGCCGAGTACGAGAAAGTGTCTTCGCCAAGTTAACCGACCTTCCCCGAGACAAACGCGGAAGTTTAAATTTAAACTCTCGTCTTGAGTAAAAGAACAGCATTTAATTACTGTAATTACAGAAGCATATTAACGTAAACAAATATTACATTACCATTTAAAATGAAAAGTTCCAATAAAATGCTTTTCTGACCGTCTGTTTAATTCCTTGGAGAAAGTACATTTTGATATAGGCAGTCTTTTTCAATTTTGACCAATAATCAAAAGTAAACTGTCTGGAATATAAATGGATACTTCCTCTAAAGAAATAAATATGAAACGTTTCATAAAATTTAAGCAGAATACAATGTGGAAAGGACCTGTCTTTTATCACTACGGTTGTACCATAAATAATTGTGTGACAATGCATTTTTTAATACAAACTTTTGTCGTTTAATTTCTTATTATAAAACTCCTTACTCTCCTAGGCAGATTTTTGGTTTACCATTAACGTAGTGTTTATTGTCTCAACATTGAATCAGGATTTTCCTTCCACTACATACTTCCCCTACATTCTAAAGTTTTAAAATTTTAGTTACTTTTCATTCGTTTTTGAATAAATTTGCACCCATCTGTCGAATAAAGGAATATGTTCTGAGTTCCATGTCTTCATTCATGTCTTAGATTTTATACGGGTCCACTGATCAGACACATGAATCCCGTCATCTGCAATGAGTAAGTGAACCAGGGTGCACGTTGCTCACTATCTTAACTTGACTTTACGACTTGATCTCCAGGTTCATAGCTTATCGATCGGGAATAAATTTCCGTAAAATCGTAAAACTATTGGATGACCAGGACATAGTAGCCTTCGCCTAATGCGCGGGACGACGCCCGCGTGATTCGATACACCAGCACACGATGCATCTTAAGCCACGAATGCGGCGCGCGACATCGAATTGAGTTCTCTGCAGTAAACGTTTGCGTCGAAAGGGAACATACAGGAAAATGTACGTCGCTCAGCGCGCGCGAGCCTTGCTCTCACGTTTTTTTCAAAGCAAATGAAACGGATTTGCGACGCAAATCATTTGGAGTGTGGGCGAGATGGCACAGAAGGTGTTTGTGGCATAATCTCACAAATACACGCACCCGCGAATAAATGCCCAACGTTTATCTTAACGCATCATCTCAAAATGAAACTAGTGGTGCTAAAACAGCACATATTTTCTCGCACTATTTCTAACTTTCCCGATTTTCTAAAATTGGGAGGGTTTAACGAAACCTGCGCCAATTTGCTTTACATATGGAAAAAAATTAAACAAAAAAATTCGGAACCGGTTTTTTAGAATGGGGTTTTATAAATTGCATTAACTTAAAGCAGAAACTACACGAATAGTATTTTTGTCAACACATTGTACATGCTCTGTTTTAAAGATATATTTTTTTAGATCTTTTACATCTTTTAGATTTTATTTAAGACAAAAATAGCATATGTCATTTCCATTTAAAGCTAGAGAAAAGAAAGTACAAGAATTCTGGAAAGGATTCTGATTTTTCGCTAAGCTAAAGGAATTTCACATGACGCTCTTGCAATCGCCACGACTTTGTTACTTTCTTTAACAAATATATTCTGTATTTTTCTGGTTTCTTCTTTTTTCTTCTTTATATATTCTTTTCGTAACTGAGACCTAAGAACAAGCTTCATTTTTACTTTCTCGCACTTACCAATGTAAGAAGAGAAAGTGTTTTTAATCGTGCGCAGGAAAACGGCGAATTTCCGTCACAACAATTCTTATTTCTTCTGTATTAGTCTTATCCTGTGTTGTACGTGTCACTTAAGATCATGTTTTCTATGAAGTGAAACAGTTATTTCACAAACAATGCAAAACGTTGCTTCCCTGATGAACTTGCTATAAATAGCAACTCATTTCCTCACTGTTCTTTGAATTCGCGCGTACATTCACTTCCGTGGCTTCATTTGCTTATTTTCCTTTGTATTGTAATGAAAAAAGAAATTTAAACAGAAAGGTATAAAACAAAAAAATGAAAAGGCACAAATACATCACAAGTACGTGCGTACGTTGCACGGAATATCTATCTATAAGTATCTGGAATTTGAATTCTATTCTCGCGTCAAGAAAAGGTAGTGGCGCTCTTCTTTGACAAACGTAATATATATTTTATCTTGAATCTGTCTTTCAGTCACTTTCAATACAAGAAACACGCTAGTATTCTGAGTAAAACACTGCTCCGAACTCCATGCCACGATGGTTCGCTCAGAACTTACTCACCATATCGAAGCGCGTTGTTTGCGATCGTTTGGGCAGGACAGCGCGAAGGCAACACCGATAAGAAAAATTCGCTTCAACACTTCGTTTTTTAAAGGTTTGTTTCAATTCGTAATCACGAACTAGCTTCGAACGATTTGAATAAATGTAATCTAGGCAGTCATCGACAGTTGTGGTCAGCCGTAACCTTTTATCCCTTCGACTAGGGGTTCTGCGCCGTTAGAGCCACACTTGTGGCCTGCAAATGGGAGTTCGGTAGGGGACGCCAAATGTCTTCCGTCTTCCTACAACTACGATATTGAAGTACAAATTAAACATATTTTTAATGTAATCTGAAAACGTTCAATTTTTTAAAAAAGTGAGTAGTTGTGTATAATTTAGGGGTGAAAAAATCTAATTTTCTTGAACCTGTCGTACGCAATCGTACACTTTCATATGTCCCCCTTTACGTACGGCCAATGCCAACATGCTATTTACAGCATTGTGAATCGTCTATAAAAAAAATAGAACTTCGTCTTTTCATATCAAATTCCCTTTGGAGATGGCCGATGCTAGTTACTGGAAAACAAATTGGGGTGAAAGGATCGATCGAGGTTTGTTGCCCGTTATAATGGTGCTGATTCGGTATCCCCATGCCATTGAAATGAATATAACTTTATAAACTATCCATCAGAATATCCAGCGTGTAGAATTCTCCTCAGCCTTCTCTAATTGGAGTATTTTTCCTTGTAATCGCTGACACTTGTTTGCAAACACGTGCGGGTTTTCAAGACACCCTCACAAATGCTTTGGACAATTCAAATAAGAATTAAGAATTTGCCGAAGTCATTTGATGGACACGATTTTCGGCGATTGAAGGGTGGCGTTAGCGATGGTTACGGAAATCATGGATGTTACCAAATCGCAGCCCCGGTCGAATGATCGAGGGTAATGAGATGTTATTATGTTATATTTGTATTATTATAATGCATATAATAATATAATATTGTCGGCCCCGTGGCGCAGACGGTTGTGGCATCCGTCGTCTGTGCCGAGGAGGCTGCAGGTTCGAGTCGTGCGTGAACATGGTCATATTTGTGATTGTCCCTTCACCTATCATCATCATCATCATCCTCCTTTCATCTCATAATTCACACTTCAAGGCGTAACAGCCTTGTTGTAATCCAAGGATACAGTTGAAAAAGCTGATCCTGGAAGAATTACACACGTTAATCGTGTAGCATGGTCAGTAATGGCCTATACGCCAATAATAATAATAATAATAATATTGTAATTATGTTCTATTGTTATTAGTTTGTAAGGTGATGTTGAGTTTTGTTGTTTGTTAATTTGTTTATGTTCGAGGTATAGTTTTTCTTCCATTACTGTTTGATTTGACAAAAGTTCAATTCATAATGTACCATTACCATGGTTTGTCTTACACTTTGCATTATACAACACGTAGTGTGTGTCCAGTGTAACGTGCACGAGTCGATAACACCAAACTGTTAATGACTGCTTGTCGGAGTAGTTCGCGTGTAGCCGGTGAAGGTAAAGTCCACTTACAACTGTGCCAAGGACACGTCCCACCAACGGTCGCATTGCGCCCGTCTCAGATACACACTATTAGTGCAGACAGGAACACAACATGGCTCGAATTCCTGTCGGCTTCTCCAGCGACCGACGAGTTTTCTTCGGCTGAGACCTCATTTATTTGTATCTTTATCGTTCTGTTTTTATAAACAAAGATACATTTAAATATGAATTGATAATGACCTCAGGATATTATATCTACTAGGGAAACTATTTTTTGTATGAGTTACTAGTTCATTTCTGCGTCTGTATGAACCTGAACAAACCACGTAATGGTGTAATTAATATCCTTCTGAGTCTTTCGGGTTCTGTATGCCCGCGAGCACTTTTTTAATACTTTATGGCCCGCTCTAATATCAACACAACAAATTCAATTTTATGAATTCGATTTATTAAAGTTTAATTAGAAACAAGAAAATTAAATAAATGGCGTACTACTCAAATAAGAAAAATACTTTCCATCAGTCACTCTTATTTCACAACTACGTATCACTTTTTTCTAGACGCGTATCTCGAAGGGTTATTTTTTTATATAATGAAATGTTATAAATAACGTTCGGTAATAGAGGCAAATAATCTAAAAGACTTTTTCATTAACGCAATTGACACTGCTATTTCCAAACAAATTCTTTCGAGTACACTATAATCATTTTCATATATTTCTCGAGGTTTTACTACAAACAACTGTCAATCGCTTTGTTAACTTTTTCGAGAATTTCCACACGAAATTCCCACTTGACAACTGACGATTACAATGCATGTTTAAATTTTGGATGCTATTCAAATTGTACACTGTGTGGTTTGGTTCAGCTTCAAACTAATGCACCATGAAGTTTTGTATGCACCACGTGCGTTACTGACGTTTTGCCGAGGGCGACTTCCTTTGCCAAAGGCCCTCGGGGCAAAAACATTTTCTTATCCCTGTAGATACATAATTTACTATGTTGATTATTTTCAGACCCGTATATTTGCTTCTGGCAATGCAGATATGTAAATACATGAATATTTGTACTGATACTGTGTCTTTAAAACCTTTACATCTTAATGCAAATAAATGGTTGTTTGTTTTTTTTTTGTAAAAAAAGATGCAATCTACTGCATTTATAGGTCCCCATAGGAAAATCTCGGTAGCACCAGTGATGTATGTGAATGCATGATTTCTACTAAGCATTCTTGGCTATTCGGGATTAGCCGCGTCTCTGTCAATTGTACTGGCGTTTCGGCCATATTGCGGTGGCCTTCTTCAGAGCTATGCTGCTGCTACAGTTGACCGACACGCGGCTCATCCCGGACAGCCAAGAATGCGTTGACTCCGTCTGCGGAAGCCTACGCACGCATATGCCTTCTACTGCTTCGTGGTCGTTATGTGTGTGTGTGTGTGTGTGCGGGCAGGTGCGCGTCGGGCCGCGCGGGCGACGCGGACGCGGGCTGCTGCGACGAGCGCGACGACGACGAGGACGACTCGTCGGACGACGGCGACCGGGACGACGACGACGACGACGACGAGGACCTGGTGATCGACCACACGGGCGCGCCGGCGACGGGCTCCGCCCCTGGCGGCGGCTGCGGCGCCGGGAACGGCGTGGGCGGCGGTGAGCGGACCCGGCGCTTGCGCGTGTATGCCCGCGCGCAATGAGGGCTTCCTCAAAACAAGCAGCCACTTGCGGGATTTCATTTCGCGCGTGCGCTTGCAACAGGTTGTCCGTGGAAGGTCAACAGTTGTCGGTGAAGCGGAGTTGTGGGAATTGGCGAATCTTAAAAAGGATAACCGTGTACAGTGCTAATAGATCCTTGATATAAGGGATTGTCAAACACACGAGTAGTCACTTCAAGGTGATCGAATTGTGTAGGCGGCTTCTTACTTAAGCAGAATGATTACTCCTTTAGTGATCAAAACATGTCATGTAATTTGCATCAGGTTATTCTTAACTGTCGGGTCAGAAATGTTACACTAAATGGTAACAAAATTAAGGTAATATTACAATATAAAAGCGATGATAAAAAAACAACTGGGAATGCGCGGCACACTGAAACTTTTCCTCCTCTTACTTACTTACTTACTTTACACTTCTTTCTCAATTACTACTCCTTTAAAAAAATGTATGACATTTAAAGATCAAAAATTCAGGGATAATGTGGATTAAGAAAGAAATCTCTGCCTTTAATGTTTGGTGTGTAGTACTGTTTCGAAAATAAATTTGAACTTTGCAATTTTCAAAATTTCATAGATTGTAATTAAAATAGTACTATATCATTTTTATATATGCTCATTCTTCTATTCCGAAAAACAACAACAAAGAAACAATTTGTAGTCTTTTCGAAAACATTGAAAATGTTTCATGGCTTTCATATGGAGTAACACCAAAAATAAAATATCATAATCGTCTCCGGAATGGCACGAATAGATCTTAATCATATCGTATTTACGAAGTTTCAGCTCAAAAGCTTCTAATCTAATAGAGTTATGCTTGACATTCGTGCGTCGGCCAAACACACCTCCCGATTTTCCGGTACAAAATTGCATACATATGTTCTTGCCACCTGCAGCAATCGTAACCACACATGGAAAAGCAGTACCAAACCTTAATCCTGACGTGTGTGCAAAATTTCAGCTCAAAAGATCCTTAGACATGGACATAACGAAAAATCACAGTATGTTTTTGCAGTGAATCCAGTACACTTTCTTTCTGCACTACAGTCTAGGGAGAAAAAACAAACTGGATATAGAAAACTGAAAATCAAATGATAAGTCAGCTAGAAAATGTATTCATTTGAAATTGTAAAATTTATTAAAAATAAAATATTGACCCATAAAGCAATTCTCAATTTTATGGAATGCCAATTTACACAACGCCGACTTATTGGTTATTGTTTACTTCTAACGGAGCATTTATTGGCAATTTATAAAGGGAAAACAATAGAAATAGTTATTTATCTGAGGCGGTTACGCCGTGTAGGATCTGGTTTAGAAGAGTAAGAAAGAGATGGGGGAAGCAATCTCTGTTTTAGGAGTGAGTGATCATGATCTCGTCCTTCCATTTTCAATGGAAGATTTTTTTACCAATTAGAATGGTGTTTTATTGGATGGCAAGGTTTTGAAAGGAACATTTTTAGAATCAACTATGAATTCGATCCTACGAGTAATTTCTTGGATATAGGTGACCTAGGTATTCGTGATCAGGTGCTTATCTTTTCCGACCGATTAAAAATCAACCAAGGATGTATAAGGAAAAAACGAATTGTCTGTGCCTCCCCCTAGCCATAATCAAAATGTCTGCGTATGTCGCTGCGAGTGTCTCCATGGCAAGCTCTAGGTTGACATCATTTCAAATATTAACAAATAAAATCCAGTACTCTATGACATGCTAATTACTTAGTGGTTATAACATGCACGAATATTTTTATGATATATATGTGTTCCGTTTGCAGAAAATTGGGTATGTTATTTAAATGCGTGTGTCGATCCGATTTCATGTTTCAATTTTGCGTCGTTTCATTTTTATTAATGCTCTTTACTCCGATTTCATTTTAATAATCTTTAATCCGATTTCATTTTTGTTTATATATTAATGAGTTAAATCTCGAATTTGCATTGAATACACGTTATTGAATTCTTTGTAGCACATTTTCATCGTGGCCTTGAAAAATAAAAACTGTTGTCTTAAGGTGACAAATACTCAATCAGGGAATATTTCAACAATAAATTTTATCTGTCAATAACTATAGCAACCTTTAGGCGAGATTCTTTTCTTTATCTGTTCCAAAAAAAAAGATAATAAGCTACTTAAAATACGAAATTTTAAGAAGTGTGTGTTATCTAAAGCGATAATTTTTATTAAAATCACATTATGTTCATTCTTTAGATTAGATTTAACGAAAGTTGGATTAAACTGGATGAGTTAAATTAGGCCTTTGATTGCATTAACTTGTCAGTCGCCAGAACAGTAAACTGTTAATTAACAGCTCTCAAAAATATTATTAATGACGTCCAGAAAACTCAATTTTTCAGATTGCTGGATTCACAGCGTCACTAGGTGTGAGTGCTCGTCGATCAACAAACATTCCGATGTAATCTACACAATTCTCGAAACGCCTGTACAAACTCGCCTGTTATAATTATGTTGCATTACTTATTGATTGTGTCTTGGTAAAACTTTGACGGGGAAAGAAGTTATGTTTCATACTAAATTTCTGGCGGTCCGGGTTACATCTATTATCCAAGCAGGTAATAGGAATTAAATAGTTTTGAATACCTTCCACAATCACGTTAACAAATGAAAAAGATCAATGACCACTTATCAATGAATACTGAATATCTTTGAGAGATAATGTCAATGAGTGATAGCTATAATACGTTCATTCCAGAGGCATGGCGCAGGCATAGTCGGGCAGGCGGGAGTAGTCGTACGGCTCAAACACGGGAATTAGAAACTAAAATCGGATGTGATTTGATGAGTGTACCAAGTCTCTGTTCCAAACGCAGGCCCGCGGATAGATATCAAAATTAATGTTGGCCAATTTCCACAACCAGGGAACTGGAATCAGTGGTGTCACGAAAGAAGTAATAGGTGATGGATGAGTGTTAGTTCTTTAATATCGTAGAATATAAAATGCCGGCCTAGGGTAGCCGAAAAACGTGAGTTCCGCTAACTCAGTAGGTAAGATAAGAGTTACTGTGGTTCCAACGTGGGTTAGATGAATGAGCACGGCACGTGGACCCCGAACCATAAAACACACGTAATCTGTGTATGATGAATGTCAGTGAACACCAAACATCTTGGACAATGGCAAACGCGTGACGACGTGGCTTCTGGAGCAAGCGGCGGCTCCAGCGCGGAGTCAGCGAACGTGTAGGATAAGCAGGTTAAGCAGCGAATGTAGGATAAGCAACTAGCCGCTAGTGGACTCCGAACTACTAATTGTGACTTATCTATTTCGATCGCCGTCCGCGGTCGCGAATGAACATGGGTAATGCGCGGTTCGTGTCAGTGAGCGCCGAAGGTCTTGGCCGGCGCGATGCACGGCGTGGCGGCGACGGGGCCGTCGGCTGACGCGGGGCGCGGCGCGGCGCGTGGCGCAGGCGGCGGCGGCGGCGTCCAGCGCGGGCTCGAGCGCGTCGGAGGGCGACCGGTGCGTGGTTGACGACGTCCCGCGGCCCGGCGCGGCCCCGGCGTCCCGGAGGCGGGCAAGTCGCGTCGCGGCGGAAGGCTACCGCCTGCGCGGGGACTCGCGCATTCATCGAGATCGCCCGGCAGGGCGCGAGCTGTTCTCCAGTTCGCGCAGCAAGCGCGGCGCGCAGGCACGCGCGCACCTGGTCCGCGGCGCGGCGGCGGCGGCGGCCGCAGGCGGACGGCAGCAGCCCGCTGCCGCAGAGGCCCTCCAAGAAGCCGCAGGGCGTGTGGGAGCTCAGAGCCATGTGAGTGCGCGGCGCCCGCGCGGCGCCGGCAGCGCGCGCAGGGGGGCCAACTGTCGGGGTGTTCGTGTCTTGTTTTGTTTTGTAGCACTGATGAATGCAAAGCCATTTATGACATTGCTGGGTTTTCCCCTGTCTGTAACCTGAAAATATCACGTTCTCTCGTTTGTGGGGAAAGCTATTTCTTTTCATAGAATTAAAGGTCTCAAAGTTACCCCAACCCCAAAGCAGTCTAAAAGTTACCACTTGCGTGGATTCCTCGAAGAAGAAGAAGAAGAAGAAGAAGAAGAAGAAGAAGAAGAAGAAGAAGAAGAAGAAGAAGAAAGAATACGTTAAAGACGAGGAAAATGATTTCGATTGTATGTTTTCGAAAAAACAGTTAAGACTTACCACTAAGTGATCTTCTGTGTTAAAATGGCTAAATGTACTGCTTGCTAGACTACAACCCTAGTCATCTTTCGTTATTAAGATCGTAGTCCAGGAATTATATGTGGCTAGGTCTCTGTTTATGAATAGCAAGTGTTCCATCACTTGAAAATGGTTTTATCATCAGAGATAAATCGCTGAATGAACCGAACGTTGTGTTGATTGTATTAATATGTCTCTAATGGTGAAGGGAACATATTTATTACGCAATTAAAACAAAGTTGATGGAATTTTGTTAGTATTTCTGAGGTAAATGTTTGAAGATGCGATATTCTCCTTTTTAAATTGAAAATCTACCTGAATAGTCACAATCTCACTTCTAACAGGAGTTTTTAATTTACGAAGAAACCTATATGACTGTTCCACAATGCTTCTTACTTTTCATCTCATTCGTTCATTCCACTTCCTAAACTCTCGCGCTATCCACAATAGTTCTTATTAATTATACTGTTCTTCATTAAAAAAATCTTCTCGAAAACAATGTTTTGTGAAATAGTAATCCATTTCAGGATGTATGGAATGTAGATGAAGAAGTTTTATTTTTTAAATTATGAAACTATTAGTATTTTCCAGAAAGAGGATAAATCTTATAAGTGCTTATAAGTGTATCAGTAGATTTGTGATTTCAACGTTGAGAGGTGGTGCTAGTTAATGTCAGTTCATATTAAAAATATTGAAAGGAAAGGTAGTGATTCAACTTTCTGATTATGACTGCGACATTCTTGTCCAGATATGTTGTTTGTTACACAGTGTTACATGAAGTATTGTATTATACAATACGTCCACCAATATCGAAC